GTTTAAAAATGATAATTAAGGCTCTAAGGCATAGGCACGCATAAATTAAAGATGATTTTATATACTTCCATACCCTCCCTGGCGAGCAGACACTGTGCAATACGAACATGCTCTAGCAGGAGCCAGCCCCAGGACTCCTAGGTTCTATTTGCAGCTCTGGGAGGATGGGTTAGAGCAGGGAACTTAGAATTTGGAGATCCTGGTTCCATTCCTAGCTCTGCTAGAAATTCATTTGATTTCTATAGGACTCCAATTCCTCCATCTGTAAACTGGGGCAAATACATGAAGCACGTCACAAAAATGGTTAAGTTGCTCAGGAACCAAACTCACAGACAGCAGAGGACCCCTCTCATCATGCCACCTCTGGAAGGTAGGAAATGTGAAACAAGTTACCACCAAGACACAGAGACAGGTTACAAAACCATGGAGGGCTTCCTTGTTACAGGATTAGGGAAGGGAGGGAGAGCAGACCCACCAAGGTTGATAAATCCCTGCCTGCGTTTATTTCTTAATGCAACCATGACAAATCACCATGGACGCTTGCCAATGCAGGCACATTTCCTCATTTTGCCCTTCACCACAATAATTGAGGATAATGGGGAAAAAACATTTCTTGGATTTATCTCCCCCCTCCCCCGCGAGGGCAGCGGAGCTCTGCACGGCAGGTATAACAGACTCTGGTACAGCTGTGTTTCAAAACTGACGCAGGACTCCAACAGCAGCAGCCAACAAGAGGAGGCCTGGCCTGCTGCACTTCCTCAGGAATTCTCTGCATTCCAGTTACATCTACCAAACGCCAGGGATTAGCAGATGGGTGAAATACAAGAGACAAACCCAAGCGGCCTTAGAGTTTTATGTGAGACACAGGAGCCAGCCTCTCAATCAGACCCATGCCAGCTACGGTGATGTACGGTAAATGGCAGGGCTTTGGAGCGGAGCCCAGAGCTGGAGCACGGAGCAGCTCCGGAGCAGTGGAGCTGCAGGTTTTTGCCTGGAGCGGAGCCGGAGCACAGCTCCAAAGCCCTGGTAAATGGCAAGGCCATAAAAATGTAGTGCACAAATCACCCCGAGGCTATGGGGCACGAAAGGAGGTCCTGTCATCTTCACAGCAGAGGAAGTTATAACATGAGCTGAGATTTTATCTATGAATGGTGGATCAATGTAAAAGCAATTCTGGAGTAATGACCACAAGGAATAGCCCTGGAGAACAAGCCCCCAGTTTAGCCACAAGGCTGTGAGCATGCAGCACCCACAACCAACATGCCACAAACTTAACTCAGATGGACTCCCTCTAGGGGAGAAAGAAACCAGGCTCCATGGTCCTTCGATTCCTGGGTCCCTAGAAGCTCGGCTAGCTCAGACTGTAGTGCCTCAGGGAGTCCCTGTTCAGGCTGTAGGTTTTCAATTGCTTTGTACATGAGAAGCTAAATTAATCCCTGTGATATCCTCACTGACTTAAGGTTCCTCATCCAGGGAAGTCATATGGCCTGCAATAGACAGGAGGTCAGAGCAGATGATCACAAGGGTCCTTTCTGGCTTTATAATCTAGGAAACCAGTTAGGAATTACAGCAGGCTCTCTGCTCCACACAGCTGTCCACTACAATAAGAAAGGAGACTTCCATCTTGTGAAGCCACTTGAACTGGCACTCAGCGTTCAGCCACAAAGAGCCAAGATCCCAACAAAGGGATGGTCCTGCACAGCCAAAGCAGCATGCTGAAATGCAGTACCGAACCCTGGTGCAGAACAGTCTCCTTTAAAACTGACTAGGACCAAAATGTCAGCCATCTGCGGGTACTGGGAAGGCCTAGGCTAAGAGTCTGCTTTTCAGAGGTGGCAAGCTTCCCTAGCTCCAGCTGAAGTGAACGGGAGAAGGAGCTGCTCAGGACCTCTGGAGAAAAAAACATCAGGCCCTAAATCTGCTTTCTTTTTGGATGGATGATGAAACAATTGAACTACCAGCCTGACGGGATGGGAGGTGAGGAGTGTATAGTGCAAGCCTGACCTTAGCAACCCATCTGAAAGAGAAGCAATCACATGACAAAATGCTACAGCAGCTGATAATTGGCAATCAGGGCACCTTACCTAGGAGGGTTACAGAGCTCTTCCTGAAAATGTCAGTGACTTTGACTAGGACGTGCACAGCGAGCTAAGTGCTGAAAGAGAGACAACGGCAGCCTTTGCAAAGAGTGCACATTCATCTGGAATGGTCCTTTTCTCCCAGGTAATCAAAGTAACCCTTTGACCAGCAGAAACTGCATGCACAGCAAATATGTATTTTATAGCCAAAGCTCAGAGCAGGGGAGAGGGGAATGCAGACAAGAAAAGTTTGCCATGTGTGGCATCACCCAGAAATGCTTTAGGGAGGGCAAAGTAGCCCAAGGGGAAGTATCCTGAGCAAGTACTCGAATAGTGCTGAACTATGGACCTTAATGGCCTAGAGGTGTCCAGTTATAAAGCGCAAAGAGCAGTAGCTAGCTCTTAAAAACCAAATGCACCTTACTACCTCTTATGGAAAGGTCAAGATTCAGTTTAGAGAGACAAGGTGGGTGAGGTAATATCTTTTATTGAACTAACTTCTGTGGGTGAGAGGAACAAGCTTTCTAGATACACAGAGCTCTTCTGTCCTGAAGATCTCTGTGTAGCTCAAAAGCTTGTCTCTCCCCCACACAGAAGTTGGTCCAATAAAAAAGAATATTACCTCGCCCACCATGTCTCTCTAGTATCCTGGGAAAAACATGGCTAACAACACTGCATAGATTCAGTTTAGTCTTATAGTACTAACTTTGTTACTTGAGTAACAGTCTAGTATTTTTATAAGGTCCTCCTGACCATCACATCCACGTGCCTCAAATATTACTGAATTTGTCTTCAACGCCTTGTGGGCTGGGAGGTTTAATTCCCTATGTCAGGAATAGGAAACTGAAATCCAGAAACATGAAAGGACTTGCCCAAGGACACACAGGAAAGCTGTGGCAGAGCCAGGAATTGAACCCAGATCTCCTAAGGCACTAGCCCAGGACTGAATTATGAGACCATCCTCAAGTGAGCACAATTTAGCCTGGTATAATCACACACACAAAAAACAAAAAACCAAAACCCTTTTACTCCATTTGCTTTAGAAGTAGCTTTCACCTAGAAGAACCAAACTCTGCATATGCAACACATTAACCTGCCACTCCCTCAGAAAGGGACCCCCATAAGAGAGAGGTGGAAGGGGGGGGGTGAAATAACAAACATTATATACCCCATCCGAGGCAGATCACAAGCTACCTGAGGGAGCCTGTCCCCTCTACAGTGAGCCTCACTCATCACTAGCTGCATAGTTTGCCAGGACAATAAAATACAAGTGAATCAGTGTCTTGAGCAAACCGTGCAAAAAAAATGTAGACCAGTTACCTATTTAGACAGGGAAACCTGGAAGATCCACTGCTAAGTGTTCTCTGGAGAAGCAGGATCGCTTACTGGAGGTAGACCTCGGTGCCCCTTTAAGAACAATGCGTGGTAGACCTCGGTGCCCCTTTAAGAACAATGCGTGTAGCTCACAGAACAGGTTTGGTTCTGTGAACTACACGCATTGTTCTTAAAGGGGTGTTGAATGTATTTGAATACAGAGCAGATCCTAAATGCACTGGGTGGAAAAAAACCTGAATTCTCATCAAAACATCCAAGAAATCAACAAGAGCGGTTGGCTGGTTTTTAAACCCTCCAGTGGGGTGGGAGGCAAGTCTGAGGCCAATGCTCTGTGAGCTGAGAAATGTGCATGTAAGTGTGTTCTGCCATCACCCTGTTTGAGATTGGGGTGCCCTTGAGCATGTAGGAAGCCGCCTTGGTGACCACAAATCGCCACAATACAGCAACAGCCGGATGTGTTGTCTGAGATATTTTTCTGCTACCACCAACAGATTAGCACGGCAATTACGATCCCTGCCACAGCAGCAGCACGGGAGCAGAATGACAACGAGTCACCTGGACTCTGGCAGCATCGAAGGAACGGCGCTAAAAATAAACAATCAATGAACTGAGAGGACTGATTATCTCCCAGTAGCCACACACCTCTCCCTACCCAGGCACAGCCAGGCAGCAGCCCCCCTCCGCCAGCCCAACACCACCAATTGGGCTTTCACAACAACTAGCATTTTTAGGAAGGGGGTGTGTCCCTGGTCCAGGCACAAGTAGAAAGGGAACAGGATGGGCCCCTGGGCACACACCTGAGAGAAGGATGCTTTCCCCTGAGGTGGCTGTGGCATGTCGCACCCACAAGATGGGGCAGGTGAGGGATGTGTGGGGCAGAGGAAGTTGATCTCTCTCCTGGGTACTTGGGGGATGAAACAGAATTGGGTTTCACCTTGCTTCAAGGGGGGTGGTTCCCATGGGAATGGATGGATACTAAGCAAGGAGTGGGTGCCCCATGCTGGTCCCTCTGGGCTCAGGAGCAGACATATGTTCCTATGCAGGTACTGTGGTTCAGATGGGTCCCCAAAGCAGGGGGGCCCTGGTATCCTACAGAGCCCACCACTGGGATAGGAGGGCCTGAGGTTATCCCAAGGGGCTGGTCACTGCTAGGCTGAGCAGAGAGCTGGGTCCAGGGGCAGGGTCCCCTGCGGCCTCTCCATGGAAGAGCAGGATGATGGCAGCCCATGTGGGCGGAAACTAGGGAACAGCAGCAGGGCAGAGAGAGGAGACCCCCGTTAGGAAGGAGAAGCAGGACAAGGTGGTCTCGGGGGGTGGGGGGAGATAGTGAGACAAAGCAGGAGAAGGGAGCAGGGGTAAGTGAAGGTGAGTCTCTCCATGGGCAGGGGGTCTGTTCCGGCCGGGTCTCCGTGCAGGGGGAATGAGGGGGTCCGGTCCGGTCCGGTCCAGCCGGGTCTCTCCGGGGACGGGGTCAGGAGTCCAGCCCAGCCGGGTCTCTCCGGGGAGGGGGAGAAGGAGGGTCCGGTCCAGCTGGTCTCTCCGGGGAGGGGGGTCAGGAGTCCGGTCCGCGCCCCACCAGCCTCTCACCTGGGCACGCAACTGGGCGAGCTGCGATCCACCTCCCAGGTCGCGTACAGGTTCATCTGCACCGGGCGCCCCGCCGGCCCGCCCGGGGCCGCCCCGCCAGGGGTGAGGGGCCCGGAGCCCGGCTTGGGGGGCAGGGGCGCCGCGCCCGGGGGCTGGGCCGGGGGCTGCCCCAAGGGGGACTGCTGGGGGAGCGCGGCCGCCGCGGGCTGCGGGGCGGGGGTGCGCTGCCCCCCGCCGCCGGGACCCCCGCGCTCCGCCATGAAGTCGAGCCGGACCCGCACCGCTGCCCGGCCCTGCCTGTTGCCCTGGGCGCGCTCCCGCCCGCCGCCGCCGCTCGCTCCCGAGGGCAGGAGGTGGGACACGGGAGAGCCCGCGCCGACCTGATTGGTCACAGCGGGGCTCGCGCCTCCCCACGGCTCCACCCCGCAGGAGCGCCAGGCTCGTGCCCGCGCTTGGGGGGGGGACGGGTCGGGAAACAGATGGGAGGGGCGGGCTGAGCCCTGCGAGGACCCGCTTAGGGGAGCGCGCCTCCAACTCCTGCCCGCGGCTTAAA